TGGCGCAGCCTCCCAACCTTGGGTAGACAATACCAAACCACAGGGGTACATCTACTCATGCGCTTGCTTTGCAGCACCCCCGTACCCCGTTCCTACTTTTATAAAAGAAACGATCTCCATCTTGACACGACGGTGGCATTTCCCTTTTGCACTGGGCTGACGCTTGTATCTACGGCCCGCAAGTGAGAAGTGGGCTGCAGGCGGCACTGAGCAAGGCATGGCACCCAGTGAGCTGCCGGTGCCCTGCCTCGTTTCCAGCCCCAGGAAAGGAAAGCGCTGCCCATCTCACTTGCGTTTCCTTGCTGAAGCAGTGAAGTTATTAACTTGAAAACATCTCAACCACTGATGCAGCCACTTTCCATATTCAGTGTGAGGGAATGAAGGTACTCGCAGAGCACCGGAGGGCTCAGGTTTATGGCTGCCGGCTTCACGGCTGGCCCCACGCACAGCCTCAGCGATGCGCCTCCATCCTGAGGCCAGACACAGCCTAGAGTTCCCACTTCGTCTGGCTTCTGTTCTCACCAGCACCCTTCTTCCTTGAGAGAACAGCTGACACACGGTGGTTATTCACACGTAGGTGTCTGGCAGATATTTCCTCAAAAATGAACAAAGCAAGCCTCTTACTTCCACGAAAACGGTTCCATTGTTATTTGTTGCTAATGGTAAAATTTGAGCTTTTAAGAAAAAACAATCAGAATTTTGGAAAACTTGTATCTGCCTCAGGCTTCCGAATACTCAATGACTTTTTAAATGAGACGAAGGGTGATATTAAGAAATGTGATTTAATGGAAGGTGTCAAGCTTTAAAAGTCTGCATAATTCTACAAACAACGTCTTCCAAATGACCCAGGCGCGACATTATAGAATCAGGCAAAGTCCAAGCTGGACCACTCAATTCTAATGTAACAGCATAAATGTTCACTGACATTGTTTCAGGTTCCGCATCAGAGTGAGCCTTTGGGAGCCACTGCGTGGAGAGTTTTGGTGTAATAGCAAGACGAACGGCCCCAGTTCCTTGAATTGTACTACCCTACTTCTCCCTTTCCAACTATGAAGTGAGTGAAGCCAAACTTTCTTTTGACATTTGACTGAAACAACATATCACGATACACTAAATGCAGCAGACACATGGCCACACGTATCTTCTATGAAGGCGAGCACTGAAGAGATTCGCAGAAATGTAACATGCCACTCTCCTCACTGTTTTCCACTTTGGAAAATAGTTCTTTTATAACATTTACGTTAACATGCAGGTTTAAAATGGGTTTATATTATGTTCATTTCTTAAAAACCTTTACTGTTGAGAGTATTACAGATGCCCCCTTTTTATCCCATAACCCCTCTCCAACCTGTTCCCACCCCACCCCAAGCCTTCACCACCCTATAGTCTGTGTCCACAGGTAATGCATCTATGCATATAAGATCTTTGGTCAGTCTCTTCCCACCACCCTTCCTTCTGAGATTCGTCAGTCTGTTCCATGTTTCCATGCTTCTGATTCTATTTTATTCATCAGTTTCTTTTGTTCATTAGATTTCTTGTTCATTTATTTTGATTTTTAGATTCAATTGTTGATAGATAGTATTTATTGCCATTTTATTGTTCATATTTTTAATTTTTTTCTTCTTCTCCCTCTTCTTAAAGAATACCCTTCAACATTTCATGTAATATAGGTTTGGTGGTGATGAACTCCTTTAGCTTTTTCTTGTCTGCAAAGCTCTTTATCTGACCTTCAATTCTAAATGATAGCTTTGTTGGGTAGAGTAATCTTGGTTGTAGGTCCTTGCTTTTCATCACTTTGAATATTTCTTTGCCACTCCTTTCTGGCCTGCAGAGTTTTTGTTGAGAAATTAACTGACAGTTGTATGGGCATTCCCTTGTAGGTAACTAGCTACTTTTCTCTTGATGTTTGTAAGATTCTTTGTCTTTAACCCTTGGCATTTTAATTATGATGTGTCTTAGTGTGGGCCTCTTTGGGTTTAAATGAATTAGTAAATATATCTTTAAAATTTCCGTTTTAATTTCTTGTAGGGGAAATATCAACAGACATCAACCTTATACACAAAACCTTTTTGGATCCATATTTTTAAGAGTGTAAGGGGTCCTGAGACTAACGTCTTTGACACCTGCTAGTTCATGCTGATCCTGATTTGTCTTTGAAACTTTGGAAGTGGAGCTATGAGTGTTCCTGCTAAATGGGGAGCTGGTGCCACCAGCAAAATGACTAATTCATAGGAAGCCGCTTCTCACTCTGACCCTCCAACAAGCCAACATCAAAAAGAAGCCTCTGATCCCAGGAGAAACCACCCCACAATTCTACTGGCCAGCACTCAGCTGCCTCTGGGGCAAGGGTGGGAGGGAGGGGGTGGCCGGCAACAGAAGACTAGAGAGGCTCATTGTCTGGGGAGAACTTAAGAGCAGTAATACACTGACTAAAAATCAGTTTGCCTGTTGTCATCAGTGGTAAATTCTTCCTCCCCAAAAAACCTGTAGCTGGTAAAAGTGAGTCCTTATCTTCTAAATAAAAGCTTCAAATTGCCTATTTTAATTACTTATCCTTTTAGAAACATTATTCTAATGGACGGTAATAACTGCTGGCTTCACAGCTGGTCCCACACGCACAGCCCCAGGGCCGCACCTCCGCTCTGAGGACCATTCCCAGCGGTCAGATGGCGCGGGCTGCTTCCGTGTCAGTGTCCACGGCGTCCGCGGTGCCATGTGCTCCTCCCTTCAAACGTGGACTCACAGTAAACCCGAGGCTGCCAGGAGCTCACGTCTCCTCGCCTCTCAATCCAGGTGAATGCGTGGAGTTGTGTTTAAAACGTTCTTACTCCACGGATATTTGAAAGCTGCTAGAATCAATCTCAAAGAACTGAACACATGGACAGTATAGCAATTTCTGGAGTTTCTTGGGTAATAGAGATTTTAGCAGTCTTCATCAAGAGATACTTATGCTAAAGACTGTTCCTGAGTATTTGTGTGTGTTGCTTCATGTCACAGAAACTCCTCAAAATTAAAATGAATAGTGTTTTTATGGGCCATGAGTGAAGACAGACGGACAAATCTGGTGCCTTTGTCTATCTAGTGACTGTGAAAATGTGGAGATCTTTTCTGATTAAGTCATTGACAGATCTGCAGACGCCAATGCCTGAGAACAAAACTATAGCTGACATCTACTAACACAACCAATATGGAGGCATACATTTTTTTCTATTAAAAGAATTATGGCCCTGGCCGGTTTGGCTCAGTGGATAGAGCGTCGGCCTGTGGACTGAGGGGTCCCGGGTCCGATTCCAGTCAGGAATCCCCAGTGGGGGGTGTGCAGGAGGCAGCTGATCGATGTTTCTCTCTCATCCGATGTTTCTAACTCTCTATCCCTCTCCCTTCCTCTCTGTAAAAAAATCAATAAAAAAAATTTTTTTTTAAAAGAATTATGCATTAGCTGGTAGCTCAGTTGGTTGGAGTGTCATCCCAATACACCAAGGTTGGAGGTTTGATCTTTAGCCAGGGCACATACAAGAAGCAACCAATGAATGCATAAATAGGTGGAACAACAAATGGATGTTTCTCTCTCTCCCTCTCTCTCTCTCTAACCAATACATAAAAAGAAAATAAAAAATACAGATTACATTAATTCTATTTAAAAGTGTTAATCCATTACTGTTTTGTTCATTTGTATTGTAATATTTATTTTAAGAGTTTTTACTGGCATGAAAATATGTATGGAATTCAATAAAGGAGAATTCACTGTCGGTTAATTCACTATTGGTGTGTGCTTTTAAAAAACCTTTATTATAATTAGTTTCATTTCCTGATTAGTCCTGAAAATAATTTTGTTGTTTGAAGAAGGGAGAGTGTTATAAATCAAACACAAAACTAAACAAACAGATCATCCACTGTAGGAACCAAATACTAGACAGACTACAAGTACAAAAACCAGTAGCACAATGCCTACCCTAAGTAGCAACTGACACTGGGGTTCAATGTCTGAGAGGCGGCAGGGAGTGATGGGGCTTGTGGCAAACTGCAGGGTGTAGGCTATATCCATGGTGTCAGCCGCCAGGGGGGACGCAGGACAGGCATGGCCGGACCTTCTGAGTTACAAAAGGTCAGAAACCCAGTCTTTTGGGAGAATTCTTCCTGTTTTTAAAAGCTGGTAACTAATTCAAATGTTAAAACACCATTTGGGCCAACAGGACACATCTGTGAGGCACGCGGGCAGCCCGTTTTCCGTGTCTGCCCTGTATGAGCTCACTTGTCCTCTCCCTTCTAAAGCTTTCTCTCTGGGATGGTTGCTTCTCCTCCTTCAGACTTCCTCCTGCATACATGTCACATGTCTGCTCTTTCCGAGTCCCTCCCTAGTCTTTGTCCCTTAGAGCCCGGCCCAGGCCTGGTGCAGTGTGTGGGGTGACCGGTGAAGGTGGCTGGCTCTTCCTGTGCCCAGCTGAGTGTGGAGGAAGGCAGGCCTCTCAGAGGCCGACGGACACGGGCACAGATTGACATCCCACATGCATCCATCCCCGAGACAGCCAACTCCAAAGGCCGCCCACAGACGTGACTGCTGAGACCTCAGCCTCGTAGCCACACCCCAGGGGGCTTGCCTCTGGGCCCACATCCCCCTGGCTTCACCTAGCGCTGTGCTTTCTGTACAGACCACCCCTGAGCATTCGGTCCCTGGAAACCTGCTCATTCATCTTCACGCAGAACAGAGACGCCTGATTCCTTGCACGCGGCCTCCCCAGTTCTCCTGACCCACCCTTTAATCACTTCTGCAGCTTGTTTCTGGATCCTATCCAGACTTTCTGTTTCCAGACCCCTGTTTGAAGTGGGGCACGTAACTACCCCTCTCAGAAGGAGAACCGGATCCACTATCTCCCTTCCCGAACCCAGCTCCCCAGAGGTGCACCCAACGCCAAGCTCCTGGCCATCTTCCTCCAACACTTGAGAGCCGTGCACCCCCTAGATTTCCGCACCCGGGACTGCCTGAGCGGCCAGCACCTCACCTTCCCTTTGATGCTGAGACCCCCGGTGTCGTAGACGATCCCCTTGCCCACCCAGGCAATGGTCTGGGTGGCTCCGTCGGGGGTGTGGCTGAGGACGGCCAGAGCTGGCGGGTGGAGGGCGGCTTTGCCAACACCATAGATTCCTACGGGAAGCACAGGGAGGGGCAGTCAGACTC